AGAAGAGGGAGGGCTAATAGAAGGGAGGTGGGACTGAGGGAGGCAGTGGTCAAAAGCAAAACATTAGTGAGGAGGGAAAAGGAGAAAGGAGAAAGAAAAGCATAAATGGGGGTAAAAGGATGGAGAGAAAGATACAGATAGTAATCATAATTGTGAATGTGATATATGAATGTAATGGAATGCTATTGTGCTATAAGAAATGATGAACAGGCAGACTTCAGATAAACCTGGAAAGACTTGTATGGTTTGATGCTGAGTGAAGTGAGCAGAACCAGGAGAATGTTGTACACAGTAACAGCCACATTGAGTGATGACTGACTTTGATAGACTTAACCCCTCAGCAATACAAGGATCTAAGACATCTCCAAAAGCCTCATGATGGAAAATGCTATCCACATCCAAAGAAAGAACTATGGAGTTTGAATGCAGATCGAAGCATACTATTTGCTATTTTTTTTCTTCTGTTGTGTTTTGTTTCCTCTTTCTGGTGGTTCCTCCTATTAATTCTAATTTTTACTTATAACACCACTAATGTGAAAATATGTTTAATGGGAATGTGTATGTATAGCCTATATTAGATTGCGCTCCTGTCTTTGGAAGGGAGGTAGGGAGGGAGGGGGAGAAAAATTTAAAACTCAAAAGCTCAGGGAAGTGATTGTTGATAATTTAAATAAATTAATGAAACATTTTGAAAAAAAAAGAGACACTTGCAAATCACTTAGCACAGTGCTTAGCACATAGTAGATGCTTAATAAATGCTGATTCCCTTTCCCTTCCCCTTTAAGGTCAACTCTAGCATTCTACTATTTAAACTTTGTTCTAATGTCCTTCCTAGCTTTGACGTGCCATGTGGTAAAATTCTCAATTCTCTGGTCTCTTTCAAATCTAACAGTCTGAACTTCTGCAATCCCCTCCCAGCTCTGACATCGTGTGTTCTAAGGGCCCTCCCGGCTCTGACATTCTGTGTTTTAAAGTGCCTGTGTTCCAAGACCTCAGCTCTGGCTTGCGAGCTCTCGAGTTTTTTTTCAGCTCTGGCACACACTGATTTTAAGAGGAAAGAGGAAAGTTTTGGAGGCTGGACTGCGCCACCTCCCAGAGACTAGGGAAGAGTTCGGTAGAAGTGCTTTGAGATCGGGCTGTGGGCAGCTCGGCAGCGGGGTGGGCGGTCGGAGCCAGGCGGGACCAGGAGCGGTAGGGCCGGCTGGGCCGGGGGCGGGTCCACGCCGCCTGTGCCCGCCCCTGCCACCGCCCCGCGCCTCCCGTACCTGCTGGCCCGCCCCCTCGATCCCCTTCCCGACCCGGCCGAGCCTCCGCCAGCGCCACAGCCTAGCCCGAGCCGGAGCCCGAGGCCGGAGCGAGCGGGGCTGGGGCGCCGGGGCTGCCGGGGCCGCCGGGGCCAGGGTCGTGGGAGAGTTGGCGAGAGCAGGGACCAGGGCGCGGGCGGAGGGGAGGAGAGGGGCCGCGGGGGCCCGGGGCCGGCTCCGGATGGCGCAGCCGCGGCCCCCGGCGCCCCCCCGCCCGCCCGCGGAGGGGCTCGCTGCCCACCGGGGCCGCCTGGCAGGTGAGTGGGGGCCTGGGTCTGGCCCGGGCGAAGACGAGATCGGGATGGGGTGGGGTGGGAGGCGGGGAGTGTGGTACCTGGGGCAGACTGACTCGAGTGTGTGTGTGTGTGTCTGAGAGTCCTGCGAGGGAGGTTTCGTCTGTGGGCTCCCAAAGGTCAGCGAAGGGGTAGCCCCCACCCCGAATCTGTCCCTAGAACTGCTTTGGGGTGTGGGAATTGTCCTGTCATTCGTTGTTACAGTGACTGAGACCCTGGCCCTGGAACACACTTACAGTCCTCCAGGCAGGCTTGTGTGTCTGTAGGACTGCGTGACACACGTATGTGTGTGGATTCCACCCGAGTTGTGAAATTGTCTTCCTGGGGTTAGGTTGACTTAATCACTGACACTGTGTGTAACACTCTCCCAGGGTGTGTTGTCATTGTGTGTTGGGTGACTGTGAGCCTGCCTCTGTGTGTGTTAGAAGCTATTACTGTATATTGAACTGAGTAGATTCATAGGACCATAAAATGTCAGAGCCCTTAGAACACAGTATGTAAAAAGTGGGAAGACTCTTCCAGTTCATCTCCTCGGACCCCTTTAGGTGAGGACCCTGAGCTGCAGACTCTGAAAGTGAGGAGGCAGACCTAGGTTTGGGCCCGAGTCTCCTGCCTCCCAGCCTGGGGCCCTTTTCACTCCTGGGCATTGTGACCTCTGTCCTGCCACTCTGGCGGGATGAGTGACCATCTGTCCTGTCGCTTTTGTGAGCCCCAAGGTTGTGTGACTCTGCCCTCCCTGCTCACCAGGATGATTGTGAGGATATTGTTTGTACCCCTAATAGAACTGGAGACATGGGAACTGTTGTTGTGTGGCTGTGCTTCTGAGTCCTTTAAAATACTACATGCAGTGCTTGGTGTGTGTGTTGTGTGGTCGGGTGTATGTGGAGGGGCACTTGTTTCTGACACCATAATTAGGAGCAGGGCTGTGCATTCATGGGCTTCTTCCTCCCGCCCCCAAAGCTCTTCCCCAAGGAGAAACTCCTGGAGGGCCGTGTCTAGATTTTGTACTGTCTCAGTGTATGTGCTGATGTATGTAGAGTTTAGACAAGGGAATGGTAGGTGTGTGAGCGTAGTATGCCCCTTTCTGAGTATACATAAACATGTTTCTCTGTGCATCAGTATAGCCTTGTGTCTGGCAATGTGTCCCTATGCTGGGGTCTAAGTACATGTGTAGAAGTGCCGCACTTCCACCAAGGAATACAGAGCACAGGGCCAGTGCTTGGGCATTGGCAGAGGATTAGGGCACTTGTCTGGGAAAACTTGGAAAGCTCTCCTGGCCCTGCCAGCTGGGACTGCCTTCCCTTCAGGAAACTAGCTATGCTCAGTATTGGCACTGTAGGGCAGGAGCTGGCAAACTTGAAAGCCCAGCCTGGAAGTGGCAGAGCTTAATGCCACATATATGTGAATATAGCATTCATCAGGGTGGGGTTCAGGGGAGATGGGGGCAACAGAGAAAGGAGAGTTTGATTATAATTTAGAGTGTGTGTGTGTGGTGACACAGAGAGAGAGAGAGAGAGAGAGAGAGAGAGAGAGAGAGAGAGAGAGAGAGAGAGAGAGAGAGAGAGGGAGAGTGTGTGTGAGAGAAAAAAATGTGTGAGAGAGAGGGAGAGAGAGACAGAGACAGAGAGACAGAGAGAGAAGGGAAGAGATAACTAGAGCACGTATTGATGCTGGGTGTGGTCAGTCTCAGCATCTTCTCTCTGTATAGAGAAGCAGAGGGAGGGTAGCTCTCATAAGAGACTTTGCTGCGTTCCTATCACTTGCACTGGGGTCTCAGGATTCACATAGAAATGGGGCCCTTTCTAGCAGAAGTGTGCCCATGGTCACCAGAGGTCCCCTGGGGTTTGCCCCCTCAATTCCCTGGATTGGGCAAAAACACCCTTTGGGGATGGAATTCGGGACTTCCTATTCTTCTCCTGTGTCCACATGCTGGGCTGCCCAGGGTGTGAGCAGGGCATGGTCTCCAGTGGCTGCTGGTATTAGGGATATTGTCTCCCCATTACACGATTTAAGAGAAGGAAAAGGCCTTAAAGGTTATTTCATTTTACAGGTAGGAACACTGAGGCCCAAGGATCTCAATAGTTAATAAGAGGACAGACAGGATTCAAACCCATGTCGTCTGAGTCCAAATTAATTTTTCCATGCTGCTTTATCATTGACAACTAGAATGAAAAGTCTGGGACCAGGACTTGGGCCTCTCAGTACAGATCTTCTGGCGGGAGGAGGGAAGGTTTTTGGAATTTAGGGAACTCTTGGGTTAGGGATGGGCTAGAATAGAGGGGATATGGCCCTGGCTCTTTAAAGAGGGGGATTCATTTAGTGTAGGATCTCTCCTAATTTTGGACTGGGAAGGATAGAATAGAAGTGATCAACAGGGATGTCAACCCCAAGAGAAGTGAGGAGACGGTGAGAGCCCGCCTACCTTTGCTAGAAGAGGGCTTAGGCTTGGTGGCCTAGTCCCAGCAGGCAAGACTAGGAGTAACTAGGCTCTGGAGTTAGAAGACCTATGTCTGTGTCTGATCTCCTCTGGAAAATGAGGCATTTGGACTAGGTAAATTATGAGTCCCTTCTAGCTCAGGATCAATGATCCGAGGTTCCTTCCAACTCTGCGATTCTTGGAAGTATGGCAGAAAAGAGGGTTGGATTTGGAATCAGAATATGGGGTTACATTCCAGATCTGCTACTGATCCCCATGTGACCTCATGCCAGGCACATAATTTCTCAAGGTCTCAGTTTTCTCTTTATTAAGAAAGCTTGGAACACAGAATACTAGAACAGACCTTAGAAGAGAGAATGTCAGAGCTGGGAGGGCCCTTAGAACACAAGATGTCAGAACTTGGGGGGCCCTTAGAACCCAGAATGTCAGAACTGGGAGGGCCCTTAGAACCCAGGATGTCAGAGCTGGGAGGGACCGTAGTAGTCTGTTAGAACATACTGTAAAAGGAGGGGATTAGAAGATCTCTAAGGGCCTTCCAGTTCTACATCACATAATCCTGTGATTTGGTGAACCCCAAAGCTGACTCAGAGAGGACCTGGGCCCTTGGCTCTTCATACCCTCCCCAGCTATGGGGTATGGGCAGAGAAGACCCGATGAGAGGCCCAGTTTATCCCAAACCCCCGTCTTAGACTTTGGGCAGCCATTGTGATTGGTGTCCAAGGATAGGGGGGAACTTGAAGAGTTCAGAGGGATCTGGACCAGGCTGGGAAGCATTGTAGCTGGACACAGAGGACCTGGGTTCTAATCCAGCCTTTACACTTCCTTCCTGTGTTACCTTGGGGCTCATGTGTAAAGTGAGAGGTTGGAACAGATGGCCTCTGAGGTCCTGGATGGTTCTAGATCTGAGAACCTGTGATTCTATGATCTGACCCTGCCCTCTCTCCTGTTTTTTTTTTTCTGTTGCAGAACTCAGACTTGTTTGAGATGATTGAGAAGATGCAGGTGAGTGACCAGCCTTTTGGATCTATGCTGGGGAGCTCTCTGAGGGGGGAGGGGAATCCTAGACATCCTGTGCTGGTACTGTTCTCAGCCTAGATCACCAGGGCCTCATGTCCTCCTAGCAAGAGGCAGCAGCACCCCCTGTTGCAGGAGAGGTAGGTCATGCCCTAGCACTGAGCAGTGCGTGCATCACTCTGTAGGCAGTTCCCTGGTTCCCATCTCCATCCTGATGACCCTTGTGTCTTTGAGGTGCTGCTCTCCAGCTCAGCATTGCCTTTGACTGCAGGGCTTAGGGCCAGCTCTTCCAGTGTCTAGGCTGAGGTCTCCTCCAGCCACCTGGACCCCCTCTGGAATGAGAGCATCCCATGTGGGAAGAGGCCTTTGAGTTTATCTAGCTGAACTCCTCCGGAAGCATGAATCCCCTCTATAAGAACCTCAGTGAGGGGGCATCCAGCCTGTCTACCTGGGAAAGGAACCCAGCCTGTTTCTGCAGAACTTTCATTGGTAGATTGTTCTCCCTTTGGAGGAGCCCAAATCTAGGTCCCTGTGATTTCCACCCCTTTGCCCTAGTCCTGCCCTTGGAGGGCATAAAGAACTCTATTCCTTTTGTATTGTGGTATAGTGAGAAGGTATTAGAATGGGTTCTAGGATAAGACTGCCACCAGTAGGCAGTATGGCTTTGGACTACTTGGTCCTCTCTCTGGGTCTTAGTTTTTGCTAAATAGCATGAAAGAATCCCCTCCCGGCTCTGACATTCCCTGTTCTGAGGGCTCTCCCAGCTCTGACCTTCTGTGTTCTAAGAGCCCTTCCAGCTCTGACCTTCTGTGTTCTAAGGGCCCTCCCAGCTCTGACATTCTGTGTTCTAAGGGCCCTCCCAGCTCTGACATCCTGTGTTCTAAAGGCCCTCCCAGCTCTGACTTTCTGTGTTCTAAGGGCCTTCCCAGCTCTGACATTCTGTGTTCTAAGGCCCTCCCTCCCAGCTCTGACATTCTGTGTTCTCAGGGACCTTCTAGCTTTCACAGTATGTGGCTCTGTTCACAGAGGTATACTCACAGATGCCCTATCAGTGTATTTGAAGGAGTTGAGAGGTCTCCACCTACAAAGACTGCCAGGGTCATGACTAGTAACTCTTATCTTTGCAGGGAAGCAGGATGGATGAACAAAGATGCTCCTTCCCACCTCCTCTCAAAGTAAGTCCCAGGCCTCCCTGGGTAGATGGGTGTTGGGGGGTGGGGAGGGGGAACACTGGGCTTTTTCTGTCCCAGGCAGGTGCGTCTTGACCTCCAAAGTGATTCTTCACCACCCCCTTCCCCTCTTACCAGGCTGTTGACCCTCGTTGTACTTGTATGGTGCCTTTGGGCTTCTTTGGGCAATAGGGGCCAGAGGTAGAGATACAGATTCCCAAGGGAGTGGAAGTAGGGAGGGATGTCCTCCTGAGAGGGTATGGACAGTGTTTATCAGTTGCTTCCTAATTCTATTCTAAGAGCATTGGGAGTCAAGAAGGCAGCTTAGTGGATGAGGGCTGACTCTCCATGTTCTTAGATTCCTCCCAGCTCTGCCATTCTGTGTTCTAAGGGCCCTCCCAGCTCTGACATCCTGGGTTCTAAGGGCCCTCCCAGCTCTGACATCCTGTGTCCTAAGGGCCCTCCCAGCTCTGACATCCTGTGTCCTAAGGGCCCTCCCAGCTCTGACATCCTGTGTCCTAAGGGCCCTCCCAGCTCTGACATCCTGTGTCCTAAGGGCCCTCCCAGCTCTGACATCCTGTGTCCTAAGGGCCCTCCCAGCTCTGACATCCTGTGTCCTAAGGGCCCTCCCACCTCTGACATCCTGTGTCCTAAGGGCCCTCCCAGCTCTGACAGCCTGTGTCCTAAGGGCCCTCCCAGCTCTGACAGCCTGTGTCCTAAGGGCCCTCCCAGCTCTGACAGCCTGTGTCCTAAGGGCCCTCCCAGCTCTGACATTCTGTGTTCTAAGGGCCCTCCCAGCTCTGACAGCCTGTGTCCTAAGGTCCCTCCCAGCTCTGACATCCTGTGTTCTAAGGCCCCTCCCAGCTCTGACAGCCTGTGTCCTAAGGGCCCTCCCAGCTCTGACAGCCTGTGTCCTAAGGTCCCTCCCAGCTCTGACAGCCTGTGTCCTAAGGTCCCTCCCAGCTCTGACATTCTGTGTTCTAAGGGCCCTCCCAGCTCTGACAGCCTGTGTCCTAAGGTCCCTCCCAGCTCTGACATCCTGTGTTCTAAGGCCCCTCCCAGCTCTGACATCCTGTGTTCTAAGGGCCCTCCCAGCTCTGACATCCTGTGTTCTAAGGGCCCTCCTAAACCTTAAAAATCCCGGTTGCCTCTGTCCCTGACAACAGCACCTCATTCCCTGCCTGGAAACATTTCTTCTACCCTTAGGACCTGAAATTCCATATCCTATCACGCTTATCAACTAGGGTGACACTGGAATCCAGGTCTCCCAGGTTCCAGGACACCCTTAACCCCGGGAACTCCTGTTGTAATGCAGTTAATCCCAACTGAGGAGACTCCCCGGGAGATGATGGCCCACCCAACACCCCCCACCTGAGGTGTAAGAAACTGATCCTGACATCGAGGTCTCTGACCCAGAATGTCCTGTCCTCGGTGACTCCATCCTTAGTCTGTAGCAGGGCTGGGAAAGAGTATGATCATCCTGGGCACTGGGCTGTGGCTCTGAAGAACTAGCAGAAAGTCAGATGGAAGGGGAGGTCAGGCTCCCAGGGCTCTGACTTTGTGACCACCCCTTCCACCCCATGTAACTCTTCCAGTGCAGAGCGTCAGGGATCTGAGCTCAGCCCTACTTTCCTCTGCCTGTGCATCCTTGGGCAAATCCCTGCCACGCTCTGGGCCTGCAAGAGGGGAGAGAACAGGATGCTTTTGCCCTCCACATTCCCTTCTGCCCCCCTTTCTCCTTACCAATACTGAGTATCCCAAAAAAGCTGGATGGGTGAATCAAATGATCATAAGATGTTTCAACAGATAAATTGGGCCATGAAAGATGGTAGACTTAGGGCTAGTAAGTCTGTCTCACTTGCGGCTTGCTTGTGTTTTGCAGACAGAAGAGGATTACATCCCATATCCCAGTGTCCACGAGGTAATCCAAGACAGCTACTGTCCCCTCTTCCCCCTTCCCTGCCGTGATGTCTCCCTCCCTTGGGAGAGCAGACCATTCTAGCTAAGAGGTCCTGGCAGCTCTTAGCCAGGAATCGGTGGACACCTGGCTCACACCCCAAACTCTGGGGCCACAGACCAAGATTTTGTGGTCTTCCCTGTCACCCATATGTCCCTCTTCCTATTGGGGGCAGGCAGGCCTGGCTTTTGTACATTCTACAAGTGTTGATTCTGCTGCTACTTTAGGCCAGGCTTTGTAGATATAAAAATGAAATAGTACCTGCCCTCCAGGGGCTAACACTTTACTGGGAGCACAGTAACAGTAAGTATACTGATGAATACTGTGTGACTGGGGAGGGAGGTGGAGATGAGGAAAGGTCTCATATAGGAGATGGCTAGAGATTCTAAGAGATACTAGTTCTAGAGCACCACCTGGATATTCTAAAAGGTGGAGGTGAGGAGGATGTGCATTCTAGGCAGGAGGACAGCCTGTGCAGGAGGTTGGAGATGGAAATTCCCATGTGGGAAACCCCAGGGTTTTTAGGGGAGGAGCCACTGGTTTAAGGCTCTTGAGACCTCGGAGGGGCTAGATGACCCATGGAAAGCAGACTACATTTAAACCAATTCCAATCAGGCAGCAAGCACTGTGCCAGCCAAGAACTAGGGATACAGAAAAAAAAAGTTAAGTTGTCCTTGCCCTCAGGGAGCTTACATTCTAACAAAGGAGATGTAGAAATAATTAAATCCATTTAAGATACATAAAGGGCAGCGGTAAGGGAATCTCAGAGGGGAAGTCAGTAGCCTCAAGGGGCACGGGGAATGGGGATAGAAGTGGGGGGAACTGAGAAAGGCCTCCTGCAGAAAGTGGAGTTTGAGATGTGTCTTGAAGGAAGTCAGGGAAGCTAAGAGGAAGGTCATTCTCAGCATGGGAGGCAAAGGTGTGGAGATGGGAGATAGTGACATGTTTGAAAAAATGCAAGGAGGCCAGTGTGACTGGATCATAGGATACATGCAGGGGAGGAAGGTGTAACGAGTCAGGAAAGGTAAGAAGGGGCTGTGTTTTGAAGATTTTTTTAAATTGCCAAACAGAAGAATTTATATTTGATCTTGGAGGGACTAGGGAGCCACGGAAACCTAATGAGGAGGAAGGGTGATATGACCAGACCTGCACTTTTGAAAAATCCCTTTGGCGGTTATATGGAGGATGAATTGGGGCAGGGAGAGCCTTGGTGGTAGTGGTGGTGGGAGATCGCTTAAAAGGCAAATGTGGGCCTTAAGAATGACTGTCTCCGTGGGGAAGCTAGGTAGCCCAGTGTTTAGAGCACTGGCCCTGGAGTCAGGAGGATCTGAGTTCAAACCAGCCTCAGATACATAACACTCAGCTATGTGTCTCTGGGCAAGTCACTTAACCCCCATTGCCTCACCAAAAACAGAGAAAAAAAAGTCTAATTCAGTAGAGCTGCTGAGTGGTGGTGAGGTCCTGAGCTACAGTCGGGCAAATGTGGGGAGAAAGCATAGGAGAGATTTTGTGAAGCTTTAAAACACTAAGATATTGAGGCAGATTGTCTGTGAGGCATGTGGGAGAGGTGAAGAACTTTGGATGAAACGAAGGTTTTGAGCCTGGGTGACTGGGAGGATGGGAGTGCCCTCTGCACTAGAAGGGGAGGCTTTGGGAAGAACCAATTTCAGAGTTCAGTTTTGGGCATGTTGAGTTTAAGATGTTTGGGGGGCACCCAGGGGGAGATGGACAAAAGGCAACTGGAGATGCGAGTCTGGAGGTCAGGGGTAAAGAGATCTGGGAGTCATCTCCATGGTGATAAGAGCTAAACCTTACAAGAGTAGATGAGATCACCAAGACAGATAATAAAGAGGGAGAAGAGAGAGGGCCCAGGACAGAACATTGGAGGGCACCCATGGTGAGTGGGTACACTATGAATAAAGGATTAGCAAAGGTGGGAAAAGGTTCTCCAGGCTGAGGTCTCCTTTAAGAAAGAGATCAGCCTTCTTTTCCATCTTCCTAGTCCCTCCAGATACCTCCCATTGTGGCATCTCTGCTCTCAGTAGAGGCACGTCTGGGCTCACAAGGCTAGTATCTGGATTAGGGTTCGAGCTCCAGCCTTTCCAGACTCAAGTCCAGAGCCACATGTGCAGTTGGCTGCAGGGAGTGATGCTGCATACAGACGGGCCTTTGACATGATGCTGACTCTGACCCCGTGGCCTCTTCCAGGTCCTGGGGCGTGAAGGGCCCTTCCCCCTCATCCTGCTGCCCCAGTTTGGAGGCTATTGGATCGAGGGCACCAATCATGAGCTCAGCAGCATTCCAGAGACGGAACAGCTCCAGTCCCCCACGTCCAAAGTGAAGCTGGAGTGTAACCACACTGCCCGGCTCTACCGCAAGTATTTCTTAGGCAAGGTGAGCTAGGTGGCCTGGGGGCCAAGGTCGGGGTGTGACCTTGACCTTGTGGGGTGGTACCCCTTGGGCCGCGGGGCAGGAGGGCTCTGGAGGGCGGGGGTGGGGTGGGGATCGCTGGATTGCCTTCCAGGCCCGTTCAGATTGTGGCTGCTTCAGGAGGGGGTCTTGGTGAATTGAGAATGAGTCGACAGGATGATTTGGTGGCCAAGAGAGCAGATGCTGCCCTGAAGAGGGGTGCAGTGCTGCGCCTCAGGCAGACTGCCCAGGACTGGAAGAGCCTTCAGAGGCTGTTAGTGTAGCTCGCTTATTTTATGGGTGAGGAAACGGAGGCCCAGAGAAAGGAAGTGACTTGCCCAAGGCCACACAGGTCAGGAGTGGCTGATGTTGGAGCTGAGATGCCGAGAACATCCTATGGAAGGAGGACTGAGGATGTTTAGTTGGGAAGTGACCTGAGCCAGCTGGGGGAAGGGGAGACACATCACCTGTCTTCAAGGGTTAGATTCATTCTGCTCAGCCTCAGAGGGTGGAACTGGGGGGCAGAGGGCAGAAAGTGCAAAGAGGAAGATTTAAGCTAGAAGTCAAGAAGATTCCACCAAACAATTCAAGCATCCAAAAGTAACTGCCTCAGCGGTAGAGGCCCCTGGGTCCCAGGGGCTAAGGAGGGGCTTCCAAGAGGTCACCACTAGGAGATGGAGTCCAAAGAACTGGGTTCAAGTGTCAACTCTGGCCTTCTGAGCTGGGTGGTCTTCATCTCACAAGGCCTCAGTTGTAAAAAGAAGGGATAAGACTTGGCGATCTCTAAAATCCCTTCTGGCTCTGACATTCAGCATTACAGGCTTTCTCCCAGCTCTGACATCTGGTGTTCTAGGGGCCCTCCCAGCTCTGACATCCTGTGTTCTAAGGGCCCTCCCAGCTCTGACATCCTGTGTTCTAAGGGCCCTCCCAGCTCTGACATTCTGTGTTCTAAGGGCCCTCCCAGCTCCGACATCCTGTGTTCTAAGGGCCCTCCCAGCTCTGACATTCTGTGTTCTAAAGGCCCTCCCAGCTCTGACATTCTGTGTTCTAAGGGCCCTCCCAGCTCTGACATTCTGTGTTCTAAGGCTGCTTCAGACTTGGACAGTTGATGTTTTACCATTCCACATTCCAAGAGTCTTTTCTAGGTGGGTCTTGAACTTGCCTTCGAAGGAGGCGTAGTATTCAGATGAGTACAGGAAAAGGGAGGGCCTTCCAGGCTTTTGATAGTCTGGAGGAGACCCTGCCAGGGCAGGGGAATGGGATGAGGTTAGGAGCCACGTCCTTACCTTGGCTGGAGGGATGTGAGAATTATGCAGATATCCTCATGGCCACGCAGGCTCTACTCGGGATAGAGTGGAGGTGTGGGGGGTGGGGGAGAGGCAGGACAGGATGACCTTGGGCTCCCTGGCGTTGCTGCCAAGGCAGCAGGTGAACCAACATCACGAGATTCTGAGCCTGCCCCCCACTACCTCCTTCTGTTGTCTTCCCCCCACACCTCCCTGGGACGTGACCCACTGAGGATCCAGGTCCTTGAGCTCCTTCTCTGAAAAGGCCCGGGCCTTTGGGCAAAGTGCCCTTCCCCTTAGAACAGTCAGGGCCTCCCCAGCTCCTTGTGAAGGCAGGAGGTGGTGAAGGAGGGAGGCAGAAGGTGTCAGGGGAGGGGGCGGGGGAGGAGGAGGGCAGGGAGAACCACCCTTATCCCTCAGGAGCACTGGATTTGGAATCCGAGGCCTCTATTAAAATACTTTTTCTGCTAATGTTACCTCTGTGGCCATAGGCAGCAAGTCATTTACCTTTTCTGTGCCTCAGTTTACTCCTCTGTAAAATGAGTGGACTGGACTAGATGACCCCTAAGGTTCCTTCCAGATCAAAATCCTATCATCCTAGGACACTCCCCTGCCCCATGCCTAGAGAGAGGTTCGTGTTTAAACAGGAACTCACTTCCGGGCCGATTCCTGGGGTGGGTGTTGGCCAGGGGAGCCGGCTGCACTCGCTGGGCTGGGCTGGGCTGGGCGGGATCAGGGGTGTGTGGAGCCCAGGGCTCCCCCTCCCAGATCTCTGCCTTTGGGCTGGCTTCCTGGGATTGGGGGGGGAGCCCCCTTGCGTCCTTCCCATGCATCCATTCCCACTGTGAATGGCCCTGCCTCTCCTAGGATCCTGCCCGTGGCTCTGAACATCTCCCTCTTTCTTGGGAGGCTAGACATTAGCTCTAGATGCCTCCCTGTTTGTTTGGGACATGTTTCATTTCCTCTACGTCATCCACTAGGGCCGCACCTCACTGGGCTGGGCTTTGGGGGCCGGCAAGTGACAGGTTCATGGTCAATCTCCAAGACTTACCTGCGAACCTACTATGTGCCCAGCTGTGTCTCTGCCCACAGGGAAGGACCCAGCCGACTAGTCATGGTGATGAGACACAGAAAACAATTAGGGGATGATTCATTATTAAGCCTTATGATGCCTTTCTGTTGGTGCTCTGTAGGTACCCTGAATCTGTGGGGGCGGAGGGAGAAAACTCCTGGCTCTGGAGTCAGGCTAGATTCGGCATTGGCAGGCCTAGGCCTCTGGCTCTGCCGCTGAAGTCGCCTTACTCTGCCAAACCTCAGCTCTGTTGCCTGTGAAATGAGGGGACTGAACTAGGTGATCTCTGTTCTAGCGCTAAATCTACGATTCCAAAGAAGCCGCATGCCTCCCTGGCCCTCAGATTTGAGCTCTGTAAAACGAGGCAGAGGTTGGACTGAAAGAACCCAAAAGCCCCTCCTGGCTCTAACATTAACAATTGGTGTGGGAGGCAGCTAGATGGCCCAGTGAATAGAACACCGGCCCTGGAGTCAGGAGGGCCTGAGTTCAAATCTGGCCTCAGATACTTATTAGCTGTGTGACCCTGGGCTAGTCACTTAAACTTGTTTGCCTCAGTTTCCTCATCTGTAAAATGGGCTGGAGGAGGAAATGGCAAACCACTCCAGTATCTCTGCCAAGAAAACCCCAAATGGGATCGTGGAGAGTTGGATGTGACTGAAAAATAACTGAACTAAGCAGTCTGATAGAGGAGACAGCATGTAACCAGATACAAACAAGATAGATTCAGGATCATTTTGGTGGTTAACACATGGTCTCTTCTGGAAGGAAGGAAGCTTCTTGAGGGCAAGGACTATTTTATGTCGGCCCTTGTTTTACCGTGGCCTAACACATAGCCAGGGCCCTCTCTGGGCCTCACTTTCCTCATTTGTGAGATAGGAGGTCGGACTGGGTGGGCTCTGAGCTCCTTCCAGAGTCCTAGGATGTTTTGACCCTGTAGGGAATGAGAAGCTTTGAGAGGTAGTGAGCTTCCCGTCACTGGAGATCTTCCAGGGGCAGCTGGAAAGCTGCTTGTTGGGAGTGTTGCTCAGATGAGGGTCAGATGAGCTCTGGGGTGTTTTCTAGCGCCGGGTCCTAGGAAGACGTGGGGCAGATGCAGACAGGCAGGTTTGTGGTCCAATTCTCCCTCTGTGGCGCTGATCCCCCTTTCCTCCATCCATTTCTCGTGCCCCAGGAACACTTCAACTACTATGCCCTGGACACTGCCCTGGGCCACCTGGTGTTCTCACTCAGGTATGATGTCATCGGGGATCAAGAACACCTCAGATTGCTGCTCAGGTGAGCTAGGGGCCCCAGAGGATGGGGCCAGGGTGGAGGGGAGGCCCTGCTAGGCAAAGAGGCAGGGCTGGGAAGTCATGAAATGTTAGACCTAGACCTGAGAAATCAGGGGCCCCACCTCATCCATTTTACAGAGGGGGAAACTGAGGCACCCCAAGGGAAATGTCCAAGTTGCACAGCGAGCTTATTGCACTGTGGGATTTGAATGCAAGAGTGAGGACTCAGGACTCCCAGGCTAGTGTTCTCTCATCACACCATATTCCAGGCAGTCTGTTCTTTCTGTCTCTGAGCCCCCAACTAGGCCAGACCTGAGCTCCCAGCTCCCTCTTCTTCTCTCACTCTGCCCTGTTCTCTCCCCCCAGGACGAAGTGTAGGACCTACCATGACGTCATCCCCATCTCCTGCCTCACAGAATTCCCCAACGTTGTCCAGATGGCAAAGGTTTGACCCCCCCCACCTCCCGACCCTCTGGGGCTACTTCAGACTCTGACCATGGAAGGACTAGGCTGGGGAGGACCCCCCTGCCTATTCCTGCATGTTCATCCATGTTTAACCACCCTAGAGATGTGCTTGAACATTCCCACTCCCCAATCTCCCGTGTTCCTGATGTTTCCATGATGGTTTGTGTCCTCAGACGTTGTAAACCCACGTGCCCTGCCCCACCTCATGTTCTTACATGCAGTCACACACCTTGGCATGCTCTCACACGCTCCTCTCATGGCTATACCTTCCCTTGTACCCACCCGAGCCCCCATCTCTATGTTTGCACCCACTCTGTGCCATCCGTTGTGGCTGCTCTGTTCAGGTCCTGGATTTCACTCATTCCTCTGAACTTGTCTCTAGCCCTGGTCAAAGGTCAACCTTTGCTCTCAGCATCGGCCAGTCTTAGCCCACCAGTGTCCAAACTTGCATGCTGAGCCAGCTCATCCTATGTAACAGGAGGGCCTCCACACCCTGCCAAGTCCCCTCTGTCCCCCTGGCCTCCTCTGCTCAGGGCCCAGCCCCACAGACCCTCTCTTATCTTCTTGCAGCTGGTGTGTGAGGATGTGAATGTGGATCGATTCTACCCAGTGCTTTACCCCAAGGTAGGACTGACGTTTTGGGTCCCGTCCTCATTGCTGGGGAGTGGGAGCTGAGCTGTCTGCTACGCTGGGGGCAGGAGGGGCCCCTCAGCTCTCTGAGTATTGGGAAACATCATGTCCCTGAAACCCCAGCCTCCTCTGGGATATTAGTCAACTTCCTAGGATTCCCAAGATTGGAGGAGGGAAATGGTGATAAGAAGGGACTGAGTAACCCCAGAGCCCTGACACCAGGCTTGTCAGCCTAGAGTGGATTTGGCGGGGAGAGTGGGGTTGGTAGGGCAAAGAAATGCTCTTCTGGCCATTTGCCCCAGCTGCTACCCAGGCTTCTCTTGCCAGCCTAGTAAGCGCCAAGCATCACAAAAAGGTCTCTGTCTAGGAGGACTCCAAAGTTCTATCTGAGGAAAAAAAGATTCCTCAGGAAGAAAAATTGGCTCTGATTTTGTGCCTAGGGGTAGGTCCAGAAAGGAAGCTTCTCCTATAAACACATACTCTAGAAATGAGATGTCATAGCTGGAGAGATCTTAGAACACAGGATGTCAGAGTTGGGAAGGACCTTAGAACCCAGAATGTCAGAGCTGGGAGGGGCCTTAGAACATGGAATGTCATAGCTGGGAGAGACCTATAACACAGAATGTCAGAGCTGAAGGGATCTTGGACAGAGAATATCAGAGTTGGGATGGACCTTAGAACACAAGATGTCAGAGATGAGAAAGGCCTTAGAATAGAGAATGTCAGAGCTAGAAAGGACTCTAGAATAGAATGTGGGAGCTGGAAAGAACCTTAGAACAGAGAAGGATTCTAGAAAAGAATGTTGGAGCTGGAAGGGACTTTAGAACACAGAACGGAAAATGAGAGAAAAGGACATATTTCTTTTCTTCAGGGGAGTGACAGCCTATGTGGTGAGGCATGAGAAACAAGAGAGCAATAAGTACTAGGCAGGATACTTGAATGCAGTACAGATTTCAGAGGCAACTGGAGCTCGGAGAAGAGAGAATGGAAAGAGGTGTGGATGCACAGGGTGCTCTTAACCCCAGAGGGCACAACTAGGACTTACAGCACGGGAAAAGGGAGGCAGTTGCCAGGAGGAATACCTGGACTCCCTATAAGGAATACCTCGACTGACTGCCCTCTTGGAGTGGTCCTGAAGTCTAGTGGCCAGCCCCTGGGTGTAGAGGTTTCCCCTCTGGAGGGCTTCCTCCAGGGTAGGTGCAGGATGAGGAGATTCCTGCTGAGGGGTAGATGGGCCTAGCTCTTCCAAGAAGTCTCCAACTCTGGCATTCTGTGAGTGGCCAGGGAAGGCTCCCTGGAGAAGTGAGCCAAGCTGGGCCCTAAGAAGTTGGCCAGGAAGAGGGGACATGGAGGGTGTTTCAGGGAGGAGAGAGTGGCATGAACAGAGGGTAAGAGGTGGGAATGGCCATGGCCTGTGTGTCAGGTAGGAAGATCTCTCTCTTGGAGAACACACGCTGACTTCCTGCTTTCCTCAGGCCTCCCGCCTCATTGTCACCTTCGATGAACACGTCATCAGCGATAACTTCAAGTTTGGGGTCATTTACCAGAAACTCGGGCAGGTGGGGCTCCCTGGACTTTGCTGAGTCAACCTCCCGCCGATACCTGGGGGGACCTACCCTCACCACCCCCCAGGGCAGGTGACCAACCTAGAGACTCCAGGATTCTCCAGCTGCTGGGTCCGTCCCATTGCCTCCCACCTTAGATCATAGACTATGAGAGCCAGAAAGGACCTTAGACATCATCTAGTCCAGCCTGCCCCACCCCTTTATTTTATAGATGAGGCTAATGACTTGCACAAGGTCACACAGAAAGAGTCATTGGGAGAGCTGGGGCTAGACCCTAGGCCTCCCATCTCCCAGCCCATGCTCCTGCTCTGGTAAATGGCTGCCTCCTTATTTCCCTAGGGGTTCCATGGAGCTACCTGTTGGGTTGTGGGGGTGACCCAGAGACCTCCAGGCTTACCCAGCCCAGTTTCTCTGATGTTGGGGAATGCTGGCCTGTGGTGGGGGGAGAGGGCTGAGGGAGGTGGGAGGGAAGAAAGAGGGATGCTGCCTGCGGTTGGCTGGCCCCACAACCCCAGCCCCATGTACCCGCAGACCTCTGAGGAGGAGTTGTTTAGCACCAACGAGGAGAGCCCTGCTTTCGTGGAGTTCCTAGAATTCTTGGGTCAGAAGGTCAAACTACAGGACTTTAAGGGGTGAGTTGTCCTGGCTCTGTCTCTTAACTCACTGTGTGACCTTGGGTGAGTAACTTCCCTCTGTCTCCTCATCTCTAAAATGAACAGATCAGACCAGCTCATCTCTAATATCCCTTCTGGCTCCAACATTCTATGATTCTTGGGGGGAAAAAATGGGGGGAGGGGGGCTGGGCAATGGATTTGGATAGGGGGAGGAGAAGGAATAAAAGGAATGGGAGGGGAGTCCTTAGGAAGTGGAGCTCCTCCACTCTGGCCTCGGTGGGGTTGTGAGGGCTGGGAGCCAGCCTAGCTGCAGAAAACAAGCATAGCTAAGCCAGTGGGGTGGTGTCTCTGCACGGCAGGTTCCGGGGTGGCCTGGATGTGACTCATGGGCAGACGGGGACAGAGTCGGTCTACTGCAACTTTCGAAACAAGGAGATTATGTTCCACGTGTCCACCAAACTGCCCTACACAGAGGGGGATGCCCAGCAGGTAAAACGTGGCCCTTAGCTAAATGTCAGCCTCCTCCAGAGCCTCTGTGGACAGATGTCATATTTCTAGGCATTTTAAAATCAGAACAAATGGGCTAGTTGGCAGAAAAAACTGAAGTGGGCACTATTTCTTTTTTTAAATCCCATAGATGGAATGTCATCCTGTTGGTTTAGAAACTGAAAGTAATATTAAATAATTCACTGTATAAGCTTGTCCGCAGACCGCTTCATTGCCTTGACTTCTTCATCTGTGAATTGAGAGGGTTGCGTTGTTGGGCTTGAAGGCCTCTTCAGGCCTTCAGGCCTAAATCTCCGTTCAAAGGATGCACCCAACTCTGACATTTTTTGTTCTCTGGTTCTGGCATTCTATGTTCTGAGGTTCCTCCCAGTTCTGATGTTCTATGATTTTATGACCTAGTTCCAGGGAATAGAGTTCAGTGGAAAGAACTTCATACCTAGAAGTAGACGATCTGTGTTCTTGACCTGCCACTTATTAGCAGTGTGGCTGTGGGCACATCCATAGTGGAGTGGGCTCAGAGTCAGGAAAACATGGGTTCAAATCTCACCTCTGACCCTTACAAATTAAGTTTGATGGGGAGAGCTCTCATACTGGGAGTTCCCATGATTACATCATCACAGCTCCTTTGCACATTATTATGTGTATATAAGTATTATTATTATTATTAGTTTGTTCATAAAGTGATCATATTTGGGATATGTTGAAATATAAAAAGAACACAGAAAAAGATTTTTAGGGAGGGAAGATTTTTTTCCCCCTCTTCCAGTTTCTTGAGAAAATCGAAGAAGTTCTCAGGGAAGAAACTTGTCACCATCTTGAATTTTGGCTCTGTGCTGCTCATCGCACTCCCATGCTCTAGATCTCTAGCAACAAAGGCCTATGTCCCCCCATTTACCTCCCACACCCAGCTCTGGCTGTGCCTCCCTAAATGCTAGCAAATGATCACCCTTTCCCATACCCGTTATGATCCTGGAGCTGCAGGAAGGCCCCTCTCTTTGATCCCCAAGGCTCCCAACTTAGGGGCTGTGGGGGCCCTGTGTTTAGTTACAGAGGAAGCGGCACATTGGGAATGACATCGTGGCCGTGGTCTTCCAGGATGAGAACACGCCCTTTGTGCCCGACATGATTGCTTCCAACTTCCTCCACGCCTATGTGGTGGTGCAGGCGGAAGATGCTGGCCCCGATGGGCCCCTTTACAAGGTGAGGGGGTTCCGTGAGGGACCCAGGGCCTCTGTTTACAGTCCTGGGTTAGGGCAGGGTACAGATGAGGCCAGGGTCAAAGCCCTGGCTTGGCCACTCACTTTCTTTGTGACTTTAGGTGAGTCACGGGCCTGGTTTTTCCAATTTATATAATGGAAGGATCCTTCCTAGCTCTGACATCCTGTGTTCTAAGGTTCCTCTCAGCTCTAACATTTTATGTTTTATGGACCCTCTCAGTTCTAACATTCTGTGTTCTAAGGTCCCTTCCAGCTCTGGCATTCTGTTTTCTAGGGACCCTCTCAGCTCTAATGTTTTCTAATGTTTAAGGATTCTCCCAGCTGACATTCTGTGGTTCTACAGTTCCCTACAGTTGCCCTATAAGGTTTCCCCAACTCCCAGGCCTGCCCCTTTCAACCCTGTTCCCTCCTGCCTCAATAATGAGAGTAGGGAATACAACCCTTTCACCATCCTTGACGACCCCCCACCCCCTCTAGTTCACAGTTGGTTGGACTAATCTCATGCCCCTGTTCTAAGGGGTCCCTGAGGGAGTGAAAGGGAAATGATGGGGAGGGGGTCTAGAATGAGGGGCTACTCTCCCCTCCAGGTGTCTGTTACTGCCAGGGATGACGTGCCCTTCTTTGGGCCTCCACTTCCAGACCCTGCTGTCTTCAGGAAGGTGAGGAGGACACCCTTTCCCCCTCTCACTCTTCCCCCCTTCCCCTCCCTCCCCTCATAGGAGGCCACAGCCTCTGGGTTGCTTTTCATTTTGTGTGTGTTGGGGGGTGGGGGAGGAAGGGGGGCAGTGTCTCTTTGCCCACGTACCAGGCCCTGTGACTTTTCTGGGTGATGCTGGTATTCCACATGGGGCAGGCTGTGGGAGCTTCTGGCCCTTGGGGATTTTCAAGATGCTTTTTTAATTCCTGGGGAACCTTGAGCTAATCACTCCCCAGGTCAAGGGCTTCATGAAATGTCAGAGGAGCCTGTTGGATGCGATGGGTCCTAGGATCCCTTCCCACTCTGAATCCTGAGGTTGTATCCAGGAGACCTAGGTGGGGAGGGGGCCGTGCAGAGGCAGCAGCTGGTTTCACCGGCACAGAAGCATCCCCTTCAGCTCCCTGACAGGATCCCAGGGCCATGCATTCCTCGCTATGGACCTCCTTCCCTCCCCTTCCTTTCCATCTGGTGTACCTGCCTCTCCCTCCTGCCCACGTGGTCACCTCTGGCCATCGTGCCCCTCCCCCACCTCCCAGTCTCCATGGCCCTGAAGGAGTTCTGTGCTCTGCTCAGCTAACCAATCTCTTTCTCTCTCTCTCTCTCTCTTTCCCTCCTACCCTCCCTCCCCATGGGGTCCACAGGGCCCTGAATTCCAGGAATTCTTGCTGACAAAGCTGATAAATGCAGAATACGCCTGCTACAAGGCAGAGAAGTTTGCCAAACTGGAGGTGAGAGGCCTGTCTCCAGAAATGTCCAGCCCCCAGTCTGGGGCAGGAGGGGAGGATATGGGGGGGGGGGTAAGGCATCAGGACTGAGTGTTCTGGAAGGGGAGACTTGGAGAGGCCTTGTGTCCGGCCCTGGAGAGGCCTGGTGCAGAAAGAATTTGGGACCAGGCAAGGACAGCTTGACATATGCAGGAAAAACTGAGGCAACATCTCTGGGGTCCTCAGCTGAGCACAGGGCTCTCTCCGTCTATATCCCTTTTTGCCCTGACCCATCCCTGAAGTCAGGGCTGGTCTTCTGCCAGATTGTAAAGGTTGTCTTGGGAGCCCTTGGCCTCTCCTTTCAGGGTCTTCCTCTTCCTCTCTCCATAGGCCACACTCTCCCATTGCAATGAATCACATGACAAATCACTTCAAAACTTTTTCCTGAGTGAGCCCTTTTGGTGTGCCCAGCCCTGTGCTAGGGTCCATCCAAGGTATAGGAAGGGAAGACTTGACAGGCCTTGCCCTCAAGGGGTAAGGGGCTAGGGGCCAGCTGCAAGAGGACTAGCTAGGGAGAAAGTAGGAGTGCAATGTGAATCAAGATTGGATGGATAATAAGGTGGTTCTCAGCACAAGGGAGCTCTTGCAGGTTCTTCAGTGGAGGAGTGACCCAATAATAATAACTCACACTTATATAAAACCATATGGATTACAAAGCCCTTATCTCATCCGGGCCTCATGCTAGCCCTGGGAGCCTCCCATTCATATTCCTCCAGTCCCAATGAATTCCAGACTCAGCAAGCTAAGGGGACGTGCCCAAGACCACACAACAGTTTGTGGCAGAAACCCAAGGAATTTCCTGCTATACTACCCTGTGGAAGGATAGTTAGGACAACAGACGTCTCAGCTCAGCAAACATTTATTAAGCACCCGCTGTGTGCAAAACATAAGGAAGGTGCATGTTAGAGGGATTTCCTGGGAGCTGGCTTTGGGATACTTAGCTCCCCTGTGCCTTCCTGCTGCTTCCTGGAAAAGATCTGATAAATTCAGGGGTCCCGAGGGCTGGTGAAGGCCTGGCACAACCTGGCAGACTCAAGTGTCTCCCAGGGGTATTTGCATTTTTTACTGGGACAAAGGAAAAGGAAAAGAATGATACATTTGAAGTCAAGATCTGGATTCAGATCCCCAGCCCACCTCCACTTAGGTGCATCAGATTATTCAACCTCTCTGGGCCTCTCTTTCCTCATGTGTAAAATGATCAGGTCTGATCAGTTGCTCTTTGAAGTCTCTCCGGACTATGGCTGTGGAATCTCAGGCTTCAAGGAGTAGATAAAGGAAGAGTAGGGGGGGCAGAGGCCGTGCTGGCTCCCCCAGTTGGCTTCACAGGCTGTTCTGGTCTATCAGAAGGGGAAGAGTGTTCCCCCTTGTCCTTAGCCCCACAGTGACCTCACCCTGCCCATCCCCCCAGGAGCGGACCAGGGCTGCCCTCCTTGAGACCCTCTACGAGGAGCTGCACATTCACAGCCAGTCCATGATGGGCCTGGGGGGAGATGACGACAAGATGGAGAATGGAGGAGGGGGCAGTGGTGGCTTCTTTGAGTCTTTCAAGGTAAAGAGCCTGGGGCTTGTGGGCAGGGCCTGGGATCCTGGGGTGGATCCCAGAACTCGGGGTCAGAGCCTGGGGTTTGGGGGTGGGTCGGGCCAATGGCATCGGGGTGGAACCTGGGGTTCAGGGGTGGGGTCTGTGGTTGGGGGTGGATCCTGTGGTTTGAGGGCAGGCCTATGTAGGCATCTGAGCCTGTGATTTCTGAGCCTTGCGGCTTAAGAGTAGAACCAGCCCTGGCCCTGCTCTTAGCCCCCTGGGTGGGGAGGTCTTTCTTCTTTCTGGCTGAGGGGAGGGGACTCAGCCTTCTTGCCTCCCCCCAGCCCCAGGGCTTAGCACATCACCCCTTTCAGGGCCCTCCTACCGGAAGGGTGTTCTGGGACTCAGAGATTCAGACTAGGCCGTAAGCTAGTCTCAGAGATAGTGATTGTTTTGGATAAGGAGGCCAGAGCAGTCTGACACGTGGCATTAATTTCTCTTGTGACTCTGGGGGCCATTTCTTTGAACTGTTGGAGGCAGGGAGGAGGAGAGGTATGCCCAGGGTGACCTGGTCCTCTGTTGGGTCTGACTCAGCCCACCTCCTCCACAGATGTTAGAGCCCAGCTCTGTGTTTGGATAAGGGGATTTGCCCCAATACTTCTGGGGCCTGCCCTGTTCCTGTTAGAACCATGATGTCTGAAGAGATGGAGAGGGAGGGAAATAGGGCAGCTGGGCCCTTGCCTGAGATGTCAGCTTCTAGAACACTCACGAACAGGGCCCCTTTCAGCCTTGATCTCATCTGATAACTCAGAGTGAAGAGAGCTCTTGGAACAGAGAATGTCAGAACCGGGAGGGGCCTTAGAAGACAGGATGTTAGAGCCGGGAGGATTCTTAGAACATAGAATGTCATAGTTAAGAGGGACTTGAGAACAAGAATGTCAGAGCTGGGTGGGGCCTTAGAACACAGAATGTCTGGAATGACTGAACCCAATCCCCTAATTTTGTAGAGGAAGACACAGTTCTAACTGAATTAAATGACTTACCTAAGGTCACTTGGCAAAGTCGGTGCCAGGACCAGCGCCCGGCTTTCCTGGCGGCTGGTGCTGGACTCTTTCTCCAGAGCTGTGGGTTCTCTCTCCCTCACCCCCTCCAGCAGGGTTCTAGAGGCTTGATGGCCCCTTTTTCTCTGTCCCCAGCGTGTGATCCGAAGTCGCAGCCAGTCTATGGATGCCATGGGCCTCAGCAACAAAAAGGCAAACACAGTATCCACTAGCCACAGTGGCAGCTTTGGCCCCAACAACCCAGACTTGGCGAAAGCAGCTGGCATAGTGAGTGCCCCTGACGTGCGCCTTCTTAGGTCCATAGCATGCCCTTTCCTCTTCTGACCGCCCTTCTCCCTTCCCATTTCTCCCCCTCCCTCCTGCTCCTCCTAGTTTTCCTTCACTCGTGGTCCCCCTCCCTCTCCCTTCTTCCTGCTCCCTCTCCCTCCCCTCCTGTCTCCTTTCCTCTTCCTCTTCCTCCCTTTCCCTTTTTTCCCTCCCTCCCCTCTCCTCCCCTCTCCTCCCTCTCCTTCCCTCTCCCTCTCTTTTCCTCCCTCCCCTCCTGTCTCCTTCCCTCTCCTTCCCTCTCCCTCTCTTTTCCTCCCTCCCCTCCTGTCTCCTTCCCTCTCCCTCCCTCTCCTCTTTTCCTCCCTCCCCATCTCCCTCTCCCTTTTTTCCCCCTCCCTTCCTTCTCCTGCCTCTCCCTCTCTTTTCCTTCCTCCCCATCTCCCCCCTCCCTCTTCCTCCCTCATCCTACCTTTCCTTTCTTCTTCCTCCCTCCCCCTCCTCACCTTCTCCCCATCCTGCCCTCCAGGCTGGGCTGCTGCTCCCTCGAATACCCCTTAATCCCTTCCCTAATCTCCCTCCCCCTCCCCATCAGGCTCCTTCACTGGCAGGTTTTTAGTTCGGGGCTTGTGTGGCCTATTCCCCATTGCAGGGAGCTGGAGCAGGAGAGAGCCCACCAACCAGAAAGCATAGATGATTTGCCTACTTAGGACAGGGCACTGGGGATGTTCCCACCCACCCCTTTTCCCCAATCCACCCATATAGTAGCTTCCTCCCTAGTTCCAGAAAGCCATGGCAGAGAAGTCTAGACATCTCCCAAGCAAGCATCCTGGGGCTACCCCACCTCTCCCCAGTCCTCCCACCCCTGGCTGCCCCTCCTGAAGGATCCTGGTCTCCGTAACCAAACTTAGGCACCCCTGCTCTTTAAGAATACCACTGGTTTTGCCCACTGGGAACCCCATCATGAGGGGGTGGGAAGGAGACACCCACATTCCTTCAAGCCTAAGGCCCAAACTGCTGCCCTCTCCATGGTAACCCGAGGTCTGGGTACCAGAGAAACCTGTTGGTTTAGGTCCCTGGCCAGAGGGGAAACACAGCCCTTCTCCTCCCATACCTGAGGGCCCAGAGAATGGGGGGGATTGGCTCAGACTTCTGGGACACTGTTGTCAGAAGATGCTCTGCTTCATCCCTGCCCAGTCAGCTTCTTCCCAGCACCCACACCCCCAGCTGCTTCAAGCCTTCCCCATGCTCAGCAAAAAGCCCCTATGAGCCGCCCTGGTCCAGCCCCCCATTAGCTGGGATGGGGGAGCCTCAGGGCACTGGGGCCAGGGACCCTTGGGGGCAGTAACCAAACCATATTTTGTTTCTGTTTTTGTTTTGTTTTGTTTCTGCATGATTTCCTCTTCTCTTCTCTTCCCTCTTTTATCTCCTCTTCTCTCTCCGTTCTGCCCCACCCCGTCTCCTTTTTTCTCTCTACCTGTTTCCCTTGTCCCTCTTTTTTCTTCCCTTCCCCTCAATTCTCTTTCTCCCCTCTTGTTCTCTCTCCTCCCCCTTTTCTTTTCCTCTCTTCTTGCCTCTTTCTCCTTCTCTCCACCCCTCGGCTCTCTCTGTCTCCTCTGCCCGCTTGCCAGTCATTGCTTGTCCCGGGGAAAAACTCCAGTAGATTCGGACGTCGGGGCAGCGCCATAGGCATAGGAACCATAGAAGAGGTTGTGGTAACCGGTGCTGCCGCCACCTTCGCGGCTGGGCCGGCTGCTGGCTCTTGCATGTAGCTCTTTTGTTTTGTGGGGGATGGAGGCTGTATTGGGGATGGGCCCCTGCCGCCCTCTTCTTGCTGGTCTCCTGAGTGGTGGGTGAGGCTGACGCTCCCTCATTGCCAGGGCCTCTCAAGTGAGCGGGGTTGGGGATGGCTCAGCAGGACACAGCCCTGGCTGTCCCAACCCACCAGAGCCCCAGGCAGGGGTTGGGAGAGAAGGCCAGACCACTGGGGACAGGGGATGCCATACTCTTGTTGGCCTTGTCTGAGCTCTGGTACCTGGGACTCCCAAACCAGGCAACTGAAAGTGTCCCAGGGACCAGCTCCCCCAATATTGCCTCCAGTTCCACCTGGGGCACGCTGTGCCCATGCCTGACCCTGTCCCTGCTGCCCCCACCACCCACAGCTCCCCACCCCTGCTTCCCATCTTCCCAGAGCATGAGCCGGCCCAGGCTCCAGGGCCCCCCGCCCCGGCCCCTCTTTCCCCTCACTTCTTCCCACTTTGTCCTGGGTGTCCCCTCCAGCATGGCGTCTTTAGGAGCACGCCCAGACAAAAGGGAGGAGGGCTCCTGGGGGTTGGGACCAATGATCTGAGAATGTTCTGGTGTGGGCAATGCTGGTCCAAGGTCCCTGCCCTTCACCCCCACCCCCCAGGGCAGGGGTAGTGGCATGACTGTTTCCTGGGGCTCTAATGGGGTGTGTGTGTGTGTGTCTGTCTGTCTGTCTGGGGAGGGGACAGGGCACAGCCTCAGCACGACTCTCGCACACACACCTGCCTTGTCTGTCTGTCTGTCCACCAGCCCATCTGTCCTGCATCCCTCTGGCCAGAAAGTGCTGGGGAGCAGGGCTGGGGGCTGGGGAAGAACGGGAGAGAGCGGACTTTGTTTTTCAGCTGCTGGGGCTGAGGCCTCTGCCTGCTACAGCCTGGAGGCTCCATGGAGGGGCTGGGCTGGTACGGGGCAGAGAGAGAGGGCACTCACTGCCAACTTTCTCTTCCCCTTGTCTCCAACTCTGGGAGCTGGGGCCCACAGCTGTTGGGGCAGAGAGGGGAAAAGTGGTAATGGTCAGGGATGGGGGGACAGGTTCAAAGTGCTCAACAGCTCTGCCCGTAGTCATTGCAGGGCACCCAGGCCTGGGCACTGAGCTTCCTATCCCAGTGGTTCAGGAATTTACCAAAGGCTCCTTGGCCTCTCTCTCTGTCTCTCTTACCCCTGAAAGAGGACTAGAAGGCCTAGATTCTAGCCATTGCCCTGTCCTTCCTCTCTGAGCCTCAGTGTTCCCATCTGTAAAATGGGGTTCTGTAGTTGAGTGCCATGCAAGGGGAGTGATTGCAAGGTCGGGCTGGATCTGGCATCAGAACACCCTGGTTCAAAACCTACCTTTGTCATTTACTATCTCTCTAGCTTTGGGAAAAAGGGTCTCAGTTTTTCTATTTCTAAAATAACAGGGTTTGAGCCAAGTGTTCTCCGAGGACTGTCCCTGTGTGGCCCTTCATGGTCCTCATGTTTTCTCTCTCCCTCTTTCAGGGAAGGGCTTGTCCAGGCCTCTTGGTCCCCTCCTCTCTTGGGGATGAGGAAGCTACCCCCACCAAGGGTCCCTCCCTTTCAGAATGCCCCCAGAATGGGGGGGGGGGCCGGGGAGTCCTGGCCATGGGCATTCTCAGTTCTACTTGCCAGTGTGGCGCAGGAGAACCTTTGAGCTGTACCCTAGGAGAGGGGTCGTGGGCATGGGGCTGGGAGAAGGGGAGGCCTATTGGACGCTCACCTCTGCCTAGCCAGCATTTGGGGAGCACGGGGCAGACCCTGAGCCCAGGCTTCTCTTCTGCAGTCGCTGATCGTGCCTGGGAAGAGCCCCACCAGGAAGAAGTCTGGCCCCTTCAGCTCCCGTCGGAGTAGCGCCATAGGCATTGAGAACATCCAGGAGGTACAGGAGAAGAGGTGGGTCCCGGAGCCTCTGATCCTCCATGCCTTTCTCTGTTACCCATAGCAACTCTTCCCCCACCCACCCACCCCCGCCTCCTGCCCTTCTCACCTCAACTCCTGTCTCCATCTTCCTCTGCCTATTGGAGCTCTGGATTTAGAGTCAGGAGCCCAAGGTTTCAAGTCTCCAGGTGACCTTGGCCAAGTCACTTAACCTCTCTGTGCCTCAGTTTGCTCCTTTCAGAAAGGGGATATTTGCCTTTCTTACCTTGATAGGCTTGTTGTGAGGTAGATAAATTATGAAGCGTCTTATAATGGCAAGTCATTATTATTACTATTATTTTTCTTCCCTCCATAGTTTCTTTGTTCTAGTTCCTCTCACTAGTACCTACCAAAATCTTGTCCGGGAATCCTAGGGTTAGAGCTAGAAAGGACCTTATGTAGTCCCAAACCATCAGGGGTCATCCCGTCCTTATTTTATAGAGGAGGAAACTGAGTCTCAGAGAGCTTGAGACTTGCCCAAAGTCACACGTAGAAGAGGCTGGATTTGAACCCAGGTCCTTTGACTTGAGATCCATCACTCCATTGCACCTTTCTGTCTCCCGTTCTCCCTGCCTTTCTCCCCGTTCTCCTCTCCCTCCATGGCCCCCACCACACCTTCCTCCATCCTCCCAAAGGTATCTTCCAGGCACTGTCAGCTCTTCCATCTTCTCCAGAGTCCATTAGTTCAGGGTCCACTGTTCCCACCCTTCCCCGAACCTCCAAAGAGCCAAGAAGAAGGGAAGATGAAGGTGCTTCTCGTGCTTTCACAGAGCCCTGCCCCCAACTTCCCAACACCCCTTTGAAGTTATGGCCTCTCCTTTCCAGCCAGACATGGATTGAGGTTGGGGGATGGTGGAGGGTGGGTCCGGAATCCCTGGACCTCAGTTTGATTCAGGAACTGGTGGCAGGAAGTACCTCACAGGGCGTGGCCCCCTTGGCTCTCCCGGTTCACGTCACCCTTCCCTATACCAGACTCGATGCTGAGTCACCCCGCTGTCCCCGTGTGCCCCAAAGAGAGAGCCCTCCTGCTGGCCAGAAGACCCCCGACAGTGGACATGTCTCCCAGGAGCCCAAGTCAGAGAATTCGTCCAATCAGAGCTCCCCGGAGATGCCCACCACCAAAAACAGGTTGGTGCCCACACTGCAGCAGGAGCTGGGACCTTGGCTGTCACAAGCCTGGGGTTGTGGGTCTCCTCCATAGAAAGTCCGAAGCTTAGATCAGAAGCTGGGTTGTCTGCCTCCTTCCTGAGAAGCCATCTCTTCTCCCATCTACCCAACAACGTGGTCGTTCAAACCTTTACTCCATGAGGGAGAACCTGCCCCCTCCTGTTCTGTGTTTAGACAGCTCTGATGGTGAAGCTTTTCCTTCCCTGGAGTTCCTGCTCTCTCTGCAGACTCCCCCTTCCCCCATTTGTTCCTGGGGCCCAACAGAAGTCTGCTCCCCCTCCCCCACATGAGAGCCCCTGGGACACTGGGCTCTCATGGTCCTAATGAGGCTTCTCTCCTGCCACTTAAACACCCCCAGGTCCTTTAGCCAATTGTACTGTGACTGCCTGGCTTAGCAGAGCCCTTCCTCAACCCTGCCCCCTAACCTGATGCGTCCCTCCAGATGTGGTCGGACCAAAGATCACTTTCTTCTGCCTCAAAGTCACACCTCTCTTAAAGCAGCCCCTTTTTGCCTGTTGACTCATATTGAGCATGTAGCCCACTAAAACTTTTTGTAAAAACTCCATGTTTTTGGAGGCAGTCAGGGTTAAGTGACTTGCCCAGGGTCACACAGCTAGCAAGTATCTGAGGCTGAATTTGAACCCAGGTCCTCCTGACTCCAGGGCCAGTTCCTTGTCTTCTGTGCCACCAGCTGCCCCTAAAACCAGATCTTTTTCAAGCTCTCTCCACCCTGTACTTGAAAACTTGATGTTTTTGAACCAAAATATCTGGCTTTACATTTTTCCCGACTGATTTTCATCTTATTTTTTGTTGCTTAGCTAATTGTGTCCAACTCTCCATAACCCCATTTGGAGTCTTCTTGGCAGAGATGCTGGAGTGGTTTGCCTTTTCCTTCTCCAGCTCATTTTACACATGAGGAAACTGAGGCAAACAGGGTGAAGTGACTCGCTCAGGGTTCCATGACTAATAAGACCTGAGGCTGGACTTGAATTCATATCCTCCTAACTCTAGGACTGGCATTCTATCCACTGCACCACCAGATCTAGCCCAGTGCTCTAAACCAGTCGTGTCAAACTCAGAAGTAGGAGCCATTAAATCATACATAATAATCCCTACAAGCTGTATATTAGCTTAGTCTCAAGTTTTAATATCTATATTCTATTGTACTTTAATGTTTTTTATTAACTATTTCCCATAAATTGCATTTGAATCTGGTTCAGGCCACCCTGGGAAAGTATTGCAGCTCATGTGTTCAATGCCTCTGCCCCAACCTCGTAAGAGGCATTAGGAGCCTGCCTCTGTTGTCCACTCTGTCAGCTATTCCACCTAGCTTTGGGTCACTTCCATCTGCTAATTTGTTAAGCGTAACATCTCTGCCTTTAATAAGTTAATAACAAAAACGTTCAACAAGGCCACTCCATTGGCCACCTCTTGTCAAGTTGACACTGAATCGTGATGACTGCTCTTTGAACCTGGTCCTTCAGCTATTTCAGAATCTTTCTAAACGTGTTATCTTCTAGTCCACCTGTCCATAAGAACAGTAGGTGGTACCTTATCAAAAGCTTTATCTGCGGCATTTCTCACATATACTAATTTAGTCACCCCTCCCTGACAAGGAAGGAAATTCAGAGATGAGGCACTGGGGGCTCTTTGCAATACCCCCCCATCTTTCTAGATGTTCACCATCCATCTCTTGAATCATCTGTTCTAGGAAGTCAACTTAATTAGCCTATAGTTGGAAGACTTGTGTTTTCTTCCTGTTTTAGAAAAATCAGGATTCCGCCTTGGTCCTGTTGATTTTTCTACCTTGGGCACAGCAGCCCATTGGCCCTCCCTAGTGAAAACTACTCCTGAGTCTTCCTGATGTCTCAGAGTCCTGTGAACAAGGGTCTGAATTACTATGGATTGGTACAGCTAGAGCTGTCCTGGGGAGAGGGAGAAGGGGGGGTCTAAGATCTTTACCATTCTAGACCGTCCTTGGGTGCTCAAGGGGCTTAGGCAGAGAGAGGAGGGAAATGAGGAAATGTGAGGGCTTGGGAAGTAGGAGCTTGGGGGCCAGCTTATGGGGGATGGGGGTGGAGCCAAGTGTGACACTGGGGATCTGGGCTGAGGGAATACTGACAGTCCCAGAATGTGTGTTGGCAGGGCAGAGATGGCCATCCAGAAGGCTGAGGCGCTGAAGGATTTCTCCCGGTCATCCTCTAGTGCCAGCAGTTTCGCCAGCGTGGTGGAAGAGACAGAAGGTGCCAACGAGGATGACATGGGCATGGTAACCATGGGGATTTGGGCACTGCCCCCCATGGGGAGGGGGTGCTGTCCTAGTACAGATGTGTGCTTCTGTGTGTCTTTGGGGGGGGTCAATGGGAATGGCTGTGCTCTGGATGTGACCAGAAGACTCCCCTGAATTACTTGGGGTAATCTGGGCAACTGAGAAATGTCCAGTGTGCTCCTCGGAGGTGCTTAGTGGTGACTGGGGTACTCTAGGTCAGGATAGGTGGGTGCCCAATGCATAAAAGAGAATGTCCTTGTGGACAAACTTGTATTCCCATATCTCTCAGTTACTAAGCCCTGTACATTCATTCCCCCAACATTTCTCATAGCCATTCCCACTTCTGCCCCCACTGCCCTCATCCTGGCCTGTTACAGGAGCCCCCTAACGAGTCTTCCTGCCTCCCTTTCCTCCTCTCCTCCCCTCTCTCCTTTCCTCTCCTCCCCTCCTCTCCCTTCCTCTTCCCTCCTCTCCTCCTTTCCCTCCCTTTCCTCTTCCCTTTTCTCTCTTCCCTGCTCCCCCTTTCATCCTCTCCCTATTTCTGTCTCTCTCTTACTCTCTTACTCTCTCACTGTTTCCCTTCTAATCTGTCTTTCACACCACATCCAGAATAATTTCTCATTGATAGACCTGGTTACTTTGCTCCTCTGCTCCAAAATCTTTCAGTGGCTCCATCTTGCCTACAGGGTAAACTTTAGATTCCTTTGCCTGGCATTCGAGGCTCTCCAGAGCTTTTTAAACTCATCTCATATTTCTCATGTCTGTGAGTTCTAAGCTCTAACCAGTCTGGCCAGCTCTGCCCTGCAAACATGCCCTGTGCTTTCTGCACCTTGGTCCAAGCTGTTCCTCATTGCCTGCCCTCCCTCCTCTTCTCTACCTTTTATAGTTTAACTCAAGGACCATCTCCTCTAGGAAGTCCCGCCAGATGTCCCCATCAGTGATGAAGGACTTCTCCCTTGGATTTCACATAGCACTTTATTCTGCCCCTCTAACCCACTCTTCCCTGGAAACAGACCCTTCAGAGGCCACAGGCACTGGGGGAGAAGTGCTATATTTGGGGTCATAGGAGAATTCAAGATGTAGCTTCATTCATACCTCTATGGACCTTGGTCATATACACTGTTGAGTGTATTTATGTGTGTTGATGCTTTCTCTCAATTAGGCTTTGAGTCACAGGAGGGCAGTAGCCATCTCCTGTCTCAGTTCTCTGCCTTCCCCATGCCATATGGGATCCAGCATCTTCTCCCATCTTCTTTGGCCCTCAATTTCCTCATTTGTAATAGCTAATTTGTCTATAGCTCTTGAAGGTTTGCAAAACACCATATATGCATTATTTGATTGTCTCATCTGTAAAATTACAGGGTTGGCCTAGGTGGTATCTGAAGTCTCATCAAGCTGCAAATCTAGATTCCTATGACTTTATTAGTATAGGGAGCTTCCAGTAAGGAAAGTCCTTCTACCAATGCAGATATCTGCCCTTCAACCTTGAGGCTTATGGAGTTGTCCAAGGTCCTGAGTAGTGAAGGGATTTGTCCACTGTCACACAGCCAGAGGTGGGTCGTGATTTCAGGGGTCTTCCTAGCTCTGGGCCTGGCTCTCTATCTGCTATGCCAGGTTGCCACTTCCATTGAATATAGTCGACATTTAAGCCAGTGCTGGCCAGGTATGGTGACTACCCCTCTCATCCCTGTTAATGGGGAGGATGAAGCTAGTGGATAGCATGAACTCAAGAGTTCTGAGCTGCAGTGGGGTAAGCCAATTCCCTGAGTGAACACCACAAGGTAACCCAAGGAGGGTCCAATCAGCCCAGGTCAGAAGTGGAACAGGTCAAAGTAATTGGGTTGGGCCCGAGTTGCTCTGAACTTTAAACCTGGGAGAGATATGTCTGGAAAGGAAAGGAGAGGAGAGGAGATGGGAGATGTGAACTGAATGAATGAATTCTGAATGAATTGAGTGAGAGATGTTCTTTTGGGATCTGGAAGCATCTCCCAGTGACCATGAGACCCTTCATTGTATACTGAATGCACCGTCTGAGACTGGAGGAGTGGCTAGGCGCTTCCTTATATGACTAAGAGACAGTGAAGACCTGGAGACACAGTGCCTTTATCACTGAGACACTGTTTGTGTGACTGGGAAGGGGAGTTTGGGTTGGTGAAAAGAGGGCTGGATTTAGTCAGAAGACCTGGATTCAAACCCCAGTTCCATTACTACTAGCTATGTGACCTGAGACAAACCGTTTCAATCTCTCTAAGGCTCAAGTCTGGGCAACTAGGTGGCATAGTATATAGAGTGCCAGGCCAGGAGTCAGGAAGACTTGAGTTCAAAGCTGGCCTCAGATACTTCCTAGCTGTGCGACCCTGGGCAAGTTTCACCTGTTTGCCTCAGTTTCCTCATCTGTAAAATGATCACAAGGAGATGGCAAACTACTCCAGTATCTCTGCCAAGAAAACCCCAAAAGGGGTCATGAAGAGTGAGATACAGCTGAAAATGACTAAACAGCACCAAGAAAAGGACTCAGTCTCCCCATATGTAAGATGAGGGTATTAGACTGGATAAATACCAGGGCCCTTTGAAGCTTTCAGTCTTCTGACTACATCCATCTCACTGGGAGATGCCTGGTCCGGGCAGAGCTGGAAGGTGGGGTGCGGTTGACGGGCAGTTGTCTCCCTCTGCTGGCCACTGCTGGCAGGGCAGGCGATGCTGGGCCCATTTGTTCTCCTAGCAAAGATCGGGGTGGAGCCTAGAAGTGCGACAACTGAAGCAGCATCCCTTCTGTCTCTGACTCTCCAGGAAAGCGCGTCCTCCTCTGGGATGCCACACAAGAGAGACTCCTTCATCTACAGTACTTGGCTAGAGGACAGTGTCAGTACCACCAGTGGGGGAAGCTCACCAGGTACCACCCCACTCCATCCCACCCTCACTTCCACCCTTCCCATGGGGGGAGGGGCAGAGCTGACCCCAATGGGGGGGGGGAGTGGCAGAACTGACCCATGGGGGAAGGGGCAGAGCTGATCCATGTGGGGGGAGGAATCTCCACAACAAACCTGGGGAAGGGGGGTCCCTGTCATTCTACCCTCCCCAAAGCCTGGCCCCATCCTTGGGTCTGAGAGGCCTAGGGCAATGTCATGTGGTGGAAAGACTGGTGAATTTGGAGTCAGGAAACCTGGGTGTGAGACTTTGATCCATTTTTGGGCCTCAGTTTTTTCATATGTAAGATGGAGGAGTTCGATTCAGTGATCTTTATTATTTTACTTTCCCCCTCCCCCAATTACATGTAAAAACAATTTTTTAACATTTTTAAAAAATGTTTTGAGTTCCAAATTCTATCCCTCCCTCTATTCTCCCCACCCTGAGTTGGTAAGCAATCTGATACAGGTTACATATGTGCAATCATGTAGGAAATTTCCATATTAGTCATTTTGTGGAAGAAATGAGAGAGACAGAGAGAAAGAAAGAAAGAAAGAGACAGCTAGGTGGAGCAGTGGATAGAGCACAGGCCCTCAAGTCAGGAGGACTTGAGTTCAGTTCTAGCCTCAGCTACTTACTAGCTGTGTGACCCTGGGCAAGTCACTTCACCCTGATTATCTCCAAAAAAAGAAAGAAAAATAGTATGCTTCAGTCTCTATTCAGACACCATCAATTCTTTGGAGGTGGATAGCATTTTTTTTCATGATGAATCCTTTGGGATTGTCTTGGATCATTTTATTTTTTCCCCCAATTTTGTTAATTTATTGATTTATCAGCAATCACTTCCATATGCTTTTGAGTTGAAAATTTTTCTCCCCCTTCCTCCCCCCCACCCTCCCCAAGACGGCGCACAATCTGATATAGGTTTTACATTTACATTTGGATCATTTTATTGCTGAGGATAGCTAAGTCATTCATAGTTCTTCGTCGTAAAAGATAGCTGTTACTGTGTTCAATGTTCTAGTTCTGTTTCACTCTGTATCAGCTCATGTAAGTCTTTCCAGGTTTTTCTGAAATCATCCTGCTTGTCATTTCTTATAGCACAATAGTATTCCATTACAATTGTATACCACTACTTGTTCGCCATTCCCCCAATTGATGGGCATGCACTCAGCTTCCAATTCTTAGCCATCACAAAAAAGAGTTGCTATAAATATTTTTGTACAACTAGGTTTCCCCTTGCCGTTTTTATTTCTTTGGGATACAGACCTGGTAGTGCTATTGCTGGATCAAAGGGTATGCAGTTTTATAGCCCTTGGGGCATAGTTCCAAATTACTCTCCAGAATGGTTGGACCAGTTCACAACTCCACCAATTGTGCATTAGTGTCCTAGCTTTCCCACATCTCTTTCAACATTTATCATTTTCAGGGCAGGTAGGTGGTGCAGTGGATACAGCACCAGCCCTGCAGGAGGACCTGAGTTCAAATCCAGCCTCAGACACATAACACTTACTAGCTGTGTGACCCTGGGCCTAGCCAAAAAAAAAAAACAAACAACCAACATTTATCATTTTCCTTTTCTATCATATTAGCCAATCTGATAGGTGTCAGGTACTACCTCAAAATTGTTTTAATTTGCATTTCTCTAATCAATAGTGATTTGGAGTATTTTTCATATCACTATATGATTTGTCTGAAAACTTCTTGTTCATATCCTTTGACGATTTATCAATTGGGGAATGATTTGTATTCTTATAAATTTGACTCAGTTCTCTTTATATTTGAGAAATGAGGCCTTTATCAGAGATACTTGCTGTAAAATCCCCCCCACCCAGTTTTCTGCTTTCCTTCTAATTTTGGTTGCATTGATTTTGTTTGTGCAAAGCCTTTTTCATTTTGTATAATCAAAATTAGCCATTTTACATTTCATAATGTTCTCTGTATCTTCTTTGGTCCTGATGTAGTGATCTTCTGAGGATCCTTTCAGCTCTCAAATCCTGTGACTTTATAACCAGCTAGGCTGGGTCATGCCATGAGACTGTCTTAGTGTCAGAGCAGTAGCCCCCCTTCCCATTGGCAATGACCACACTTCTGTCCCCTTCTTCTATCCCCTGCTCCCCACCAGGCCCCTCTCGGTCACCACAGCCAGATGCCAGGAAATCAGGGGACCCTACCTGTCCAGAGATTAAGATCCAGCTGGAGGCACCTGAGCAGCAGCAGCAGCACACACCCCAATTTGGTGAGCCCCAAGGGGCCCTGGGGAGGGAGACAAGGGTATTCTAGACTAGCCCAGGGAGGAATGCCAAGGGTCTAGAATTTAGGCCAAGCCAGCACCATCCCTCACCCCAGGCCCAGTGTGTTAGTTGGGGGCAGTCAGTGGATAGGGCTACAGTAGAGAGTTTGCTCTGGGCCCCTTTTCTCTCCAGGCTCTGAGTATATCCTTTCCCTATCCCCCAATACCTGGTGGCAGATTACTAAGTGGAGGGGAGATTTCTTTCTGGAGGGTCCTTGGGGACCTAGGACAAGGGGCTACACTCAGTGAGTGACTCGGTGTCTTCTTTTTCCCCTGCCTGCCATCTGTCTACCCTGCTGACCTTCCTATATCTGTATAGGGCTGCTAGCCCTCCCAGCCAGGCCTCCATGGATAGGACATCCCAGGTTAGTCTCTGCCCACAAGAGTGGGAGTGGGAGGGGGAAAATATATGGAGGGTGGGACTGGTTTGGGCCATTCCCCTGACACAGAAACCTTTAGAGGGCACATGTGCCATGGAAAGGCCCAATCCCTGGACACAGAGGGTTTGCTTGGGCTTCCTACCCCCCTGCCCCCATCATTCAGGCTTTGCAGAGGGTGAGGCCCAGAGGAGGGGCCTCCCTGGATCCCAGTCTGCTCCTGGAAACTGACCGAGGGATCAGCAGGCTTCACCCACCAGCACTCTCCACTCCTCACCCTCTCCTCTCCAAACCCGGCCCCCTGTTTCACAAGGCTCCTCTCCCCTTGGAGGCCCTGCCCTTCCTTCCCAATGCCCCTTCTCCTCCTCTGTCCACAGACCCTGTGGCAGAAGCACAAGCTGAGATCGCTGCTGCGGAGCATAGACAGCGATTCTGCCCTTCTCGCCACGGCCAGCCTGCTGGACTGGCCTCTTTGCCCTCTTTGTGCCCTCCCCTTGCCCAGGACCACAGCTCTGCAGGGCGGAGCCTCCTGGGTCTCAGGGCCAGGCCTGGGGGCCCTCTGTGCCCCCTGAATGCACAGGGGTCCTATGAGCTGCTTGCCCCATTCCCAGGAAAACTACGGGCATTGTGCCTGCCAAGGGGCACAGTGCCCACCCAGAGGACTAGCAGCCCCACCCAGGGCCCCTGGCACAGCCTGGACAGGTTGCTGCCACAGCTTCCAGCCTGAGCCCTGCTTCCTCCCCATCCCCCCAGACCTTCCACCCCCTGGGGATGACCTGGATCCCTGCCCAACTGAGAAGAAACCAGGCCAGCACCTTTCTGGGCTGGGTACTTTCTGGGGCATCTCAAAAGCAAGGATCACCGAACACAGCTGCTCCTGCCAGAGTTCAAGACAGCTATGGGGCTGGCAGGATGCTGTGCCGGAGTGGAAGAAGCCCTGGGCCGGGGTCTAGTCCACAGCCTTCATCCTGCTGTCTCCTACCTGTGTGAGCCAAGTCATTTTTCTTCAGGCCTCAGTTTCTCCCTTGGTAAAATGGGGGGAGGTTGGATCAGACGGTCTAGATCTTTTCCATTGCAGAATTCTGTCATCCTCTGAGCCTGCTTAGGCGGGAAGCTTTGAGTTTCTAGCTGGCCATCCTTCCTGTCCCCTTCCTTCTACTGAGTCATGCCCAGAGCAGGTGCCCCCTTCCCCCCTCCATCCAGGACCACAGGCTGCCCAATCTTGCCCATTATTGACGCGCCAGGCTGTCAGTCAGGGGCCTCTACCTCGTGGGCCCTGTTCAGGCCACCAGGTTGAGGGGAGCCGAATTAGGTGTACTCACTGGGCCGTCTTCCCCAGCCCCCACTCTCCTGCTTTAGTCCCTGCCAGCTTTCTATCCTTCCCCTACTAGGCCTGTCCCAACAGGGTCCCTGCTCAGTTGCTGCCCACGGCTGAGAGCCTGGCACCATTGCCTGGTGAAGAGCTCAGCTGGCCCACCTTGTTAACACACCCACCCCCGAGACACTGAGCATCTAATTTCACTTTCCCATCCTATCACTGTCCCCAGTCCCCTACCTCTGGTGTCTCTCAGTACATCCTGGGAGGTGGGCAGGCTGACACTCCATCCCCCTGCCCCGTGATGGCTGGCAGGACCGGGCCAAGGCTGTGAACACTTGGCCCAGGGAGGGCTGGGACCCAGTGCTGCCTGTGGTTGGTGGCACCCACAGTTGGGGAGATGGGGGAAGGGGTTCCTCTCCTCCTCAGCCCACTCCCCTGACCCCTGGAGGCTTCTGGGAGTTGGCGTGATGGGGGAGCTATCATATGTCCATGTTGTGTGTTTTTGTCTGTGTTTTTTAAGGCCTCAGGCCCCAGGGCCTGACACCCAAGCCAAACACTTGTTTCTGAGACCGCGGTTGTGTGTGTATCAGTGACAGGTGTACAAAATAAAAGTTATATTTATCACTATTGTAACCTGAGTCTGGTCTAACTCTTCACCTTCATGTTGGTGAAATGGAGGGACTGGAGCTAGAAAGGAGATGTAATGAGTTAGTTCATTGTATTTGAAATCAGCACTGAGGTAGAATTCCATCAGGCTGAGTCCTGCTGGGTCACTGAGCAAGTCCCTCCCCCTCTAGGCATTGCTTCCGTGGAGCAATGATAACAATTATCATTCAGACAGCACTTTCAAGTATTGCGAATCATTTATTAAACACCTACTATGTGCCAGGAGCCCTGCCAGGTGCTAGGGACAGGAAAATAGAAAGGAAATAGTCCCTGCTCCATCAGTGAGCTCCCTTCTAATAGAGAAAAACATCCCCTAGAAGGGAGCTGAAAAGCAGGGGCCTGGAGGAGATGGGGCTGTAAAGTCCTTAGAATCAGAAGCAGGGGCAGCTGGGTGGCAAAGTGGATAGGGCACAGGCCCTCAGGAGAATGTGAGTTCAAATGTGGCCTTAGGCACTTAACACCAGCTGTGTGACTCTGGGCAAGTCACTTAACCCCAATTGCCTCACCAAAAACAAACAAAAAAGAATCAGAAGCAGAGGAAAGCAGGATGGCTTCTGGAAGCAAGTCAATGGTGAATGGGAGAAGGGGATCCCTAGGGGCAGCTGGGGTCCATACCCGGTGAGGGCCGGAGTGGTAGGAGCAGAGCCGGGAGAGGGAGGAAGAGGGAAAAGAAGACTCGGGACAGAGCTTCGGGGAGTGTTCGTGGTCTGGAGGTGGGCTCCAGAGGAGGAGTGTCCAGACAGGTAGAAGGTGAAGCTGGAGAAAACTCACAGAAACCCTAATGAGGATGGAGCATGGGGGGTGGGGGGAGGGGGCACGGCTCAGCAGTACCAAATGCTGCAGAGATGGAGAAAGACAATGCGTGAGAAAGCCCCATGGATGTAGCAAAACTGATGTCTGTAGACCACTTGAAAGTCTGAAAGCACACTCACATTTGAGCCTCGCAACACTGTGAACCAAGTACTAACAGCTGTGACTAATCCCATTTTACAGATGAGGAAGAAGTTTCAGAGAGTGACTTGTCTATGGTTGTGGTTTGCCCTTCATACTAGAAGAGGAACATGACATCAGGAAGGTGATGCCATGACTTGCAAGTGGATTGGATTTAAGTGAGGAAGGGCTGGGCAAAGTCACCAGCCTCGCTTTCTCCCTCCAGAGCCATCTGGGTCAAGTGGCAAGATGTAGATGAGGATGACTGGAAATGCCTATGGTCACACAGGTAGGAAGTGTTAAAGGCAGGATTTGAACCCAGGTCTTACTGATCCATGATGAGGCAGGTAGGTGGCTCAGTAGGTAGAGGTCAGGAAGACCTGAGTTCAGATCTGGCCTCATTCATCAGCTGTGTGACCCTGGTCAAGGCACTTTACCTTGTTTGCCTCTGTTTCCTCATGTAAAATGAGCTGGAAAAGGAAATGGTTAACCACTCCAGTATTTGCCAAATTCTTTGCCAAGAAAACCCCATTGAAGGTATTGATAGCATGATGTTGCCATGGACTATGATATGGTCCTGGGGGTCATGCAGAATGAGACACCGTTGAACAACTTGCTGATTCCAAGGACAACAGAACTTCCTCCGTAATCTCTAAGATCCCTTGTAGTTCTAAAATCTCATGGAAATTGGGACGGGGCATGGGGGGGCGGAATAGAGCACGGCCCAGACATGCAGGGGACAGGTCTTTTTAGAAGCACATTGAATTCTCTATCCCAGCTTCAATACATCTTCATCCTTGGCAACAAGCTGCCTGTTCTTTGTGCACTGTGTCATCCCCCCTCGCCCCCAAGAGCCTGAGTCAGGGGCACTTCTCAGAGTCGAGGGAAGTGGCATCAGGAAACTGTGAGAGAAAACCACAGTGTATCCCAAGCCTGCCGGCCGAACTCTTCACCACCTAGCTCCAGTATTTACTGAGGCTGAACTTCCCCCTTGGTGCCACCAGGTGTCGCCAAGGACCTGCCGAAGAAGGCTGCTCAGAGCAAGACTGAGCTAGAACCAGGGGCTGAGGAGAGAGACTCCCTGTTCCCTTCGGTCTCTTCCTAGGATGTTTAAGAGACAGCCTAGACAGTGGATTATTTGACTATCATACTGTATGCGTGAGGGGGACCAGTGTGAAAGAAATGGAGAAACAAAGTCTAGTGTCAGGTGACCTCGGGCCTTGAACACAGGAGTTTGTGTTTTCTCCTAGAGGTTCTTGACCTGTTTTGTGTATGTCTTGGACCCTTTTGGCAGGCTGATGAAACCTATGGATCTCTTCTTATAGTAATATTTTTAAATGCACAAAGTAAAATGCATAGGATTACAAAGGAGAATATTTATATTGAAAAATCAGTTATCAACAGATTTTAAAAATGAATTTGTAGATCCCAAGTTAAGAACCCTCCTGAGGCAGGATTAGAACAAAGGGACTTTCTTATTCTAGTTCCAGTACTCTTATCTACTATTAAGGAAGAAAGGAAGGAGGGAAGAGAGGGAAGGAAGGACAGGAAGAAAGAAGGAACAATAGAGAAAGGAAGGAAGGAAAAGAAGAAAAGAAGGAAGGGTGAGGAAGAAAGAAAGGAAAGAAGATAAGAGGAAGGAAGGAAAATAGATGGGCAGAGAGATGGATGGATGGACAGAGCATTTATTAAGTGCTACCTCTGTGCCAGGCACTATGTTAAGCACTGGAGTTACAATATAAGAAAGTAAAACAGTCCCTACCTTCAATAAGCTTGCATTCTAATGGGGGAGGACAATTAACAAAACAGAACTAGAAAGGCTGGAAGGGAGGAGGGTGGGTACCCCAGCAGGGGCAATGGTCAGGTGACAAGAAAGGAGTTTGGAGAGAAAGTCTAGAAGACTGTGAAGTGAAACTTGGCTGGGATCCTTCCTAAAATGGTGGTCCTGTGGAGGGAGTTCGCAACCTAACTTAGGTTAGCGGCCTCTTCAGAGTGACCATGGAGCAGCCAAGGTGAAAGAAAAGGAATCTGGAGGGAAGAGGCCTGGGTATGGAGTCAAGAGATGTGGGTTTCAGTCTTTGCTCTGTCATTTCACCTCTCAGCCTCAGTTTCCCTTTCCATCGAATGGATAAATAATCCATGTGCCTCTTACCTCCTGGGATGGCCATGGGGATCCAAGCAATAGTCTGTTTAAAGGGCTTTGTTCCTGAAACCACTACAAAGGTACACTGCTATTATTAGAAGGTCCTGTGTGGTCACCCCAGACTCCTTAGGCAGGCCTAGGGGAGTGAGAGGGAACCTGTCTTGCTCTCCTGGGACAGGTCACTCTGACCTGGAGCTCTGCCCTGGCAGCTTCCCTGGCTTAGCCACTCCCTACTGGCCAGGGACATACCCTGGAGGTGGGTGACTGAGGGGAGGTGGGTGACTGAGGGGAGGTGGGAGACAAAGCCAATGGTGGGTACCCATGGTATGTCCTGGAATGTGGCTGCGGTGATCCCAGCCTGGCTTCGAGGGGCACCCAGCCTTACTCTCATGACTCCTCCTACCCACACAGGACCTAATGTCTCCCACAAGGATTGGGGAAGACTGAAAAGGAAGACAGACATCTCCACTCTGCCCCCTTTCGATCTTTCTGCTCACTATCCATGGGACGGCACTGCCCACCCACTGGGGTATGCTTAGAATCATACAACCCTGAGCTGGAAGAGACCTCAGGGGACTTGTTTAGTCTTATCTCTTCCTGTTACACATTGGGAAACTAAAGTGCGGTTTGGGAAGAGCTTTGCCCAAGTCACACAAGGAAGTGATAGAATGGTGAACTGAAGACGGTGCACGAGATGAGCTCTGAGCTATGTCCCTGTGTCCCTGTTTGCAATCAGTCCGGGGCCAGGGATCAGTAGGTGAGAGGGGCCATGGATTGAATCTAATTGTCCAATCGCTCCTTCAGGGCAGAGCTCCAATTCCAGTCATTTCTTCAGTGTAAGCCTAGCGTGATTCCCTAAGAGTAACCAGCCCTCTGTTCACTCACATGCAATAAAGTAGGTAGGGATAGGAACCGGACCTGGGATTTCATAGCCAACTCCCAGGTAAGAAATCTCCCCCTACTAACGCAGGGCAGCACTTTCTGTGCAATTTCTAGTTTTAAAGGGATGCCTAAAGCCCCCCTTTTGACCAATATCACTATTCCTAGACCCTAGCTGACCAGACACACTACCCATCTTGGTCTGGTGATAATCAAGTAAGTGATGGTCAAGATGTCTAGGTCAGGGTGCAGGCCTGTACTCAAAGTTGGGCTGTGTCCACATCATCTTGCAGCCTGGTTGTACCTGCCCTCTCCCAAGCCAAGAATGCTGACCTGTGGACATGGGTTAACAGGTCGTGCTAATATCTCTGACTCCACCATTGGCAAACACTCGAGGATCCTGGTGGCCAGTGTCCTTCAGGTGCAAGGCTGCCTTCAAGCTATCCAATGTCACCTTGAATAAAAGACTTGGCTAGGCCAGTAGTGGATACCATGAATTCAAAGTGCTCTGGACAGTCAGTGGTTCTCAGCAGTGGACCTGAGCGTAGCCAATATGCTCACTTCTCCATGGCAGAAGAGGGCAAGGAGAAGATGGTGTTTCTCTATCTGGTGAGATTTTACTGATCAGAGCCCACATCCCCAGCAGTTTCTGCATCCCCTTTTTCAGAGGTTCAGGGAAATGTTGGTTGGGAACACAATCTATTTGGTTAATCTGGATGATTTCCACAATTTTAGCAAAATATCTTTGGGCCTTTTTGGTGTTGCTACTTAAGTGGGTGGCCTTGATCTCTGAACCTGACCCTCTTTGTCCTGAGAACTTCCATGTTCTAAGGTCTCTTCCACTCTCAACTAGGTGAACAGTATTCCAGCAGACCTAGCTTGAACCTCTTTGGAGAGGCTGGTATGCCCTGGATTGCTCCCTAGTTCAGTCTTGGTGGCTGTCTCCTAAGAATATTGTTTGGCCCCACATGGAGCTGTTGTTTTAGCCTAAGGTCTTCATTCATCTGTATGATCT